TGCTGAGAGAAAAGCAGCCAGTAACAGTGGATATTCTGGGCCTAGTTAATGCTGAACTTGTGTTAATTATACCAGTTTCCAGCGGAGCTGCCTGTTCCATTTTATTTTTTCTAAAGATCTGTGGGGAAGGTGGCAAACACAGCACTGGGACAGGTAGCCCCAAGTGGCCAGGCTGAGGGTAGGGGTCATGTGAGGGAGGGTATTGCTGCAGATTACCCAAGGAAGAGGGTCTGGGGATATATTGGAGTGGGAGGAGCTGAGGACATGTTTGACAGGGGAGAAATGACTTCTGGGGTTTTCCTCGGCCAAGGCCACTTTACCCACGAGTAGGAGAGAGATGTAAGATGGAGTGGTTTAGAGGAATGAAAATGAAAAATTGGAGGATATGTCTGGGTCAGACCAAGGCACTCACTCACATGAGAGACCTGGGCTGGGCTAAATAGCATTACCCACTGCCCACTGGTACACACAAAAGCTGGAGGTGGGATGCAATCCTGGTGGGCTAGGCTGCAGTATTCACCCCGAAGTATCAAGTCAGGGCGTGGGCCATGTCAGGCTTAGCAACAGCACCTACCAGAACGTGAGAGAGCCAGATCTGGGGCAAGATTCTATAGGGGACTTGTGGACTCACCTCTGAGAGACTAAAACATTCACTGGTTTGTGTGGAAAATTGGGGGTGGTGATAGACTGAGTCAGGCTGGACCATAGAACTGACCTGACCTGGGGTTGGAGTTGGGAGGAGGGCAGGCAGGGCCAGGCTGAAGCACCCACTGGCACATGCAAAGGCCAGGACTGAGGGCAGACCATGCCAAGAAGGGCTGCAGCACCTGAGTGGGTCTAGTACGGAAATTTGGGGAACACCCCTGCGGTTGGGTGTGCTAGGCCAGGCAAGACTGAAGCACTTATCAACATTTGTGTGGATCAGGTATGTGAGCAAGCCAGAATGGGTCAGACCATAGCACCAGCTGACACGCACAAGAGTCAGGACAGGGTATGGGCTGCACCTGGCTGGACTAGGCTACAACACCCACTAGCTGAGACTGCAGGTGGGCCATGTCAGGCTACGTTGAACAAGGGGAATTTGGGAGTTTGCCTGCTAAACTACAACTCCCTCTGGTGAGTGAGAGCCTGAGCTGTAACTAGATCAGACTGGTCTGGGCTGCAGCATGTGCTGGTTCTTCTAAGAGTCAGAATGAGAGCTGGAACTAGAAGTGGGCTAGTCTGGGTACAGCCCAATTAGGTTAGGCTGCAGCACACACCAACAAGTGCCAAGACTAGGTGACAGGTCATGTCAGGCTGGAATACAGTTCCCCCCAGAAGGTGCAAGATCTGTGGCTGGGAGCAGGCCAGCAACTCATGTGGGAGATGGGACTATGGACAGAACTGACCAGGAAGCTGCATTTACCAGCATATGTGTTGACTGGTGCAGGTCATTGACTGAATTTGACTCTGCAACAGCTAGCACACACAGAGGCAAGTCTGAGGTTACCGTATAACAGTAGTTAAATCATAACTTGGGGTTTGAGCATCCCAATACAAGTTGCCTGATTTGAGTCTACTTACTCTGCTTTTGATTCAGCTTCCTGCTTATGCACACCCTGAAAAGCAGCAAATGATGGATCCAGTAATTCAATCCCTGCGACCCACGTAGGAGACTAAGATTGAGCTCTGATGTCCTGTGACTCAGCCCTGGGTGTTGTACACGAGAGAATAGTGAACCAATGGGTGGAACATCTACATATAGCTCTCAAGTTTTCAAATAAAATGAAAATAAAATCATAATTTTTTAAACAGGAGAATTCATAAAACCACATCTGAACAATTCTTATGGATACAGAATAACAGAAATGGGCAAGATACTAAGTGCTATGTGTTAAGGGAGAATACACCTCCAAAGAATGTGAGTTCTAAAAGAAAAGAGGAAAATTATTGTGTTACTTGTACAGTTACATGGATAAATATGGAAATTAAAGAAAAGCATTAGTGTTCTCTATTTTAAAAATTACATCTGTTTGGAATGTATTCAATATTAGAAAAGCATGGATTGTAGTCTCTTTGAAATTTATAAATGGAATATCCCTAAATGACAGGAAAAGAGAACAATATAATCCTTCAAAGACTTCCCAAGACTATGAATCAATTTTGAAATAACTTTGTCACTAGATCTTTTCTTCTCCACCTAGGAAATAAGCCACCCTGCTAATCAAACTGTGAAGCGAAAAAAGTATGACTTTGGTGAGTACATTCTATTTTTCATGGATCTACCTGATGAAATGTATGATCAATTTAAAGTCCATATGTTCAGTCATTGGTCATAGATTACATTACAAAAACATTACTACTATCAGAAAGTATGAATCATTCTCTTAAGAACAAGTGTGCACACTTCTAAATTGTATAGTCATTATTAAGAATGCAGTAGAATTATTATCTTCCTGATATCAATTTGGGACTATACACTAATAAATTTGAAGCAGCTCCAGATTTGAGTAAAAACGTTAAGTAAACATGCATTGATTGTGTACCTAGAATTTCTAGCATAAAATGGTTCTTACTTACAAAGATCGGCATGGTAGGCGAGAAGATAAGATCCACACTAATGACATACACAAAGGTCAGTGAAGACTCTGTCCAGTGATGAAGTGTGAATTCAATGAAACAGGCTGAGTGTCTAGGAACCCACATGGAGACCACCAGGGCTATTGATATAATAAAGACCATGTGGAAAAGATTTGCCCAGTATTAGATAAGGTGCTGAGTTTGAAGAAGGAAAAAGAGACTTTGTAGCAGAATAAGGAAAGGAATGGATGTGCAAATAACATGCTGTGCACAAGCCACCTGCATACGCCAGCCTGACAAACGGTGGCTTAGCGTGAGCACTTCCAGCGGTGTCGCCCATAAAATGCCAGATTCTAGGAAGAGAATAGATCCTTCTGAGGACGCAGCATGAGCTGCAGAGACAGTATGTTGGTTAATTAATCAATCTCTGGTCACCAGTTATTACAGTTAGTCATAAAACATTGTGTCTGAGACTTGTTTGACCTCAAACAAATTAGTTAACCTCCCTTAAAAAATGAGGATCCCAAAGATCTATTTCACAGAGTTTCTATGAGTGTTCAACAGTTTTAAAACCTGGTGCAGAATAGGCACTTTTTTATGTTATTTTTTATTAGCTAGTAAGTTTTTTTAATTACATAATCAAATGGGTTCAAGAAGAAATTTTAAATTATTTACACATACATGCAAAATTGCTTAAATGTATTAGCTTATAAGTGACTTGCCAACTTTAATAGCAAGGAGAGAGTTTGTGTGTATATTTTTTGGTGTTATACATCTCTTTACAGGAATAGTCTGTATACCATCTGCCTTTCTGTTTGTTTCCAGTAGCTTTTATAATGGTTACATACTACTTTTTTGTCTAACTCACACTCTATTTTAAAATTTTTGTTTATTCATTTGGCAATCAGAGCTATATAGAGAAAATGAAAAATGAAAAAAGAGGAACATTTCTTCCATCTACTGGTTAAATTTTCAGGTGGCCACAAAGGCCAGGACTGGGCCAGACCAAAATAAGGACCCAGGAGCTTCATCGGAGTCTCCTATGTGGCAGTGGTGGCAGAGACCCAGTCATCTGAATTATATTCCACTGCTTTTCCCAAGCCATTAGCAGGGTGCTGGATCAGAAGTGGAGAGGGCAGAACATGAACCAGCACCCAAATGGGATACTGGTATTGTAGGCAATGGTTTACTCACCACACCACAATGCCAAACCTCCATTCTACATTCTAAAATCAGCATTCTTATTTTCACCACAGTCTGAAACAATGTCTCTAATAGACATGCAATTCCAAAAATCTAAACAATCTAAATTATGAACAAATTATATTAGTGTTGTATATATAACTCAAAATATGTGTAAAGTATAAGCTGCTTTGTAATTTTCCTTCATGTGGTAGCTGTACATTATGTTACTCATCTTAGGAGGTAATTTTATTTGCAAGTTCTCCTGTTCTCAGACAGCTGTATTTACCCGGGGGTAGCTCTTGCCAAGATTATTGTCATTTGCTGCCCAAAGTTGCTTTCTTCTCTATCAGAATACCATGTTCTGATCTCGTTTTATTTATTCCTTACTTGTAGTTATAGCTTCTGTTTTCTTTATAGTTATGATGTTTTGTTTCCTGCTACACCAACTTTTCAAGCATTTTGAAACAAAAACTCTAACTGCACTTTTCCTTTTAACAAAATCGTGTTTTCTAAATAAGAAAATATTTATTTGAGCTTTGTTTTTTTCAGATTTATTTTTATTAGAAAGTCAGATATACAGAGAGAAGGAGAGACAGAGTGGAATATCTTCCGTCTGCTGACTCGCTCCCCAATGAGCAGCTCCCATTAGAGCTGAGCCAATCCGAAGCCAGGAGCCCAGAGCTTGCACTATATGGGTGCAGGGTCCCAAGGCTTTGGGCCATCATCAACTGCTTTCCCAGGCCACAAGCGGAGAGCAGGGCTACTGGGATTAGAACAGATGCCCATATGGGAGCCCGGTGAGTTCAAGGTGAGGACTTTAGCTGCTAGGCTACCATGCCAGGCCCTATTGGGACTTTTTTTTTTTTTATAGTTTAATGTATTTTAATAGCAAACTTACAGGAACAGCACAGAAGACAGACAACATTAAAAACATGTACTTGCATGTAGGACAACTCAGTTAGAAAAGTATAGTGAATGGATGGAATCTACTACTGTATGATAAAAATGCTACAAACACCATTTAGTTGCCGTCAATAAGAAATTTACTTGTTTTAAAAAAATCCAAATGCTGGCATTGTCCAGAAAAATTTAACAGGTTTATTTATAATTGTTATAAAGTTGAACTGCTGAAACTTGTTCACTGAAACATTTTGACTTGCGTTAATGCTTTACGTCCCCGCATTTATATTAAAAACCCACACACAAATGAAAATGGAAAAACTGCCAATACCTGATTTCTGTCCCCTAGTTTTCCATTTGCAATCATATACTTAGGTACCTTTTGACCCCATGGGGAAAAAAACAAAACCAAACAAAAAAACCAAACAAAAAAACCAAACAAAAAAAAAAAAACAAACACCCCTAAACGTTCAGAGCTACCAATATAACAGGTAAGAAGAGGGAAAAAAAATTTGTTTTGAGAATGAAATGTTTCTCCTCATAGTGGATTCTTTTTTTTTTAAAGATTTATTTTTATTATTTTTTATTGGAAAGGCGGATATACAGAGAGGAGATACAGAGAGGAAGATCTTCCATCCGATGATTCACTCCCCAAGTGAGCCGCAACGGGTCGATACTATGCCGATCCGAAGCCAGGAGCCTCTTCCGGGTCTCCCACGCGGGTGCAGGTTCCCAAAGCTTTGGGCCGTCCTCGACTGCTTTCCCGGGCCACAGGCAGGGAGCTGGAAGGGAAGCGGGGCTGCCGGGATTAGAACCGGCGCCCATATGGGATCCCGGGCGTGCAAGGCGAGGACTTAACCACTTGCGCCACCGCGCCGGGCCCCATAGTGGATTCTTAAGCACGTTCTCCACGTATGCGGCGTGCTAGCTGGATGTCTTTTGGCATAATTGTTACACGTTTGGCATGGATAGCACACAGGTTGGTGTCTTCAAACAGGCCAACCAGATAGGCCTCACTTGCCTCCTGCAAAGCACCAATAGCTGCACTCTGGAAGCGCAGATCTGTTTTGAAATCCTGAGCAATTTCTCGCACCAGACGCTGGAAGGGGAGTTTGCAAATCAGAAGCTCAGTGGACTTCTGATAACGTCTAATTTCACGGAGCGCCACAGTACCAGGCCTGTAACGGTGAGGTTTCTTCACCCCTCCAGTAGAGGGCGCACTTTTGCGAGCGGCTTTTGTAGCCAGTTGTTTTCTGGGAGCCTTGCCATCAGTCGATTTGCGGGCAGTCTGCTTTGTACGAGCCATGGTGCAAGTACTTCCTTACTCACCTACCCCCTTCTCCTTCGGCTGGAGCTCGGCGAGCGAGAGGCGGCGCTGGCGTTGAGAGCGACGTCGGCGCGGCGGTGACTGGGAACACCCTATTGGGACTTTTTAAGCTCAGCATTTCACCTGTTACTCTAGCAAGCATTTCAGCCCATCCAAGATGTTCCCTGAGGTCTCACGTCAAAATCTTTGAGACACTTCTTTCTGTTATTTCACTTTCCTATTAGGAAAACTAGTTTTCTATTCCTTCAATCTCCAGATCTCTCAGATATTCACCCCAACCCTTTCTCATTCTAACCATCCTAACAATTTTCTTCTGCAGTCCCATGTGTGATTTCTACTTGCAGAAAGTTGATCCTAATGTTCAGCAAACTTGGCAACAGCATCTTCTTTGGGAGGTTGGTTGTGTTCTTTTCTTTTGGAACATTTTTAGATTTCCCTGTAGTTCAAGACCTGTTTTCCAATTTAAATTTATTTTATTGCTCTGATACCTAATTGTTATTTATATATTCTCTTAGTCATTAGTCATTTCAAGCACATTTGTCATAGCTCTTTTTTATTATAGCCATTGTATTTGAAAGACATAGACAGAAAGAAAGAGATGAAGAGAGAAATGAGAAAGAGAAAGAGAAAATTTTTATCCATTAGTTCACTCTCTCCTTAAATGTCTGCATCACCCAAGGCTGGGTCAGACCAAAGCTAGGAGTCCAAAACTCAACTTGGATCCTCCATGCGGATAGAAGGAACTCAACTACATGAACCATCACCTATGCTTATAAGGTACATAGTAGCAGGAAGACAGAATCAGAAACAGAGCAAGGACTTGAACTCAGGCTCTCTGATACATACCCAAGTATCCCAGGGGATCTTAACTCCAGCACCAAATGTCCACCCTCCCAGATTATATTTGCTTCAATAAGTCGAGGATCCACTGACTTAGAAAAATGGAAGATTACATGGTGCTGATGAGAATACTTGTAAGTGGGAAGTCAGATTTTTACTGGAAAATTCACTAAAACTGAAAAGCTCCAACTTCAAACAAAGCACAAATAAATAGATAGAACCGGAGCTATGGCATAGCAGGTGGAACCTTCCCCTACAGTGCTGGCATCTCATATAGGTGCCAGTTAGAATCCTAACTGCTTCACTTAGAACTCAACTCCCTGCCAATGCACCTAGAAAAATAGCAGAAGATACCATGCGGTACCATGCGGGAGACCTGAAGAAAGTTCTAGACTCCTGACTTTGGACTCATCCAGCTAATACACTGAGATCATCTGGAAAATGAAGCAGCAAGTGGAAGATATCCTTTGGTTGATTCATTCCCAAAGAGGTCATAACAGCCAGGGCAGAGCCAGCTTGAATTCACTCTCAATCTCTTACCTGGGTGGCAGGAGCCCAGGTACTGTCATCTGCTGCCTTCTCTGGCACATTGATTGGAATTAGACCAGAAACAGAATATCCAGGAATCAATACTGGCCCAGCCCAGTCTATCCCCAGTTCCGGCTCATGCTGTTGGGTTCTACAGCCTAGCCAGCTCAGCCAGCCCCTTGTCCCAGCCCTAATGTGAACTGGCTGGTATTATGGCCTGACCCAGCCTGTGCCGCACCCTATCCTGGTTCTCACATCTGCCAGTGGATGTTATGAGCTGACCCAGTCCAACCCACCCAAGACCTGACTCACACATATGCCATCAGGTACTGTAACCTGACCTGGTCTGGGCTCCTCCCAGCTTTGGTTCCTGCACTTACCTGTAGGGACTGAAAAAGGAGTTCCCCAAGTCCCTTATCAGGTCACCTTCCAGTGGCAGATCTTGTGTATACCAACGGGTCCTTGGACCAGACTAGCTTAGTCCACCTTCCATCCTGACAGGAGCAATGGCCCTTCCTCACTGGCCAACCCCCAATTTTGGTTCTTACAGTTAGGTACTACAGCCCACACCTGGTCTACTCCAAAACATAGCTCTCACATGATTCAGTGGGTACTGAAACTTAGCCCAGCACATCCTACATCTACCTTGGCTCTCAGGAGTACAAATGCGCTCTGTCTGTATCCCAGTCTGGCACACCCCAGAACCAGTCCACACCCATGCTGAGGGACACTGCAGTCATGTCCAGTCCAGATGCTACCTCTATTCTGGCTTTCATGCTGCTCACCAGTGGGAACCACAACGCAGCCAGGGTGTTCTCTTGGCTCCCCAACCAGGCCTTTTTCCCAGGCACAGATCTTGCACATATTACTGGTTGTTCTGACCTAGCTCAGCAATAACCATCCTCAATCTTGGCCTTTGCCCTCATATGCTGCATTGTGACCTATACCAGCCCACTGCGAGTCCCAACTATCGCTGGTGGGTGCCACAACCTAACCCTGCCCAGTGTGCTCCCATCCCTAACTCATGCAAACCAGTAGGTGTGATAGTCTAGCCAAACATGACCCACACTGTAGCCTGGCTCCTGCACATGCCAGTTTGCTAAGGTCGGCTAGGCTCTACCCTACTTAACCCCCTCCAAAATAAATGCACATACTTGCCAACAGGTGGAGCTACCTTGCGCAGCCTTACCAACACCCAGACCTGAATCCCATGCTTACGAGCAGGAGCTATAAGACCTTGAATTCATGAAAGATAGAGAAGCTGCAGGTGGCTCCAGCTCTACAAAGGAGGAAGGAATTGTTTCAATTTTTTTGTTAAAATAATTAATCTGAGGAGAATGTTTGGTCTACAAGTTAAAACATTCACATCTCAAACTGGAGTGCCTGAATTCAAGTCCTGATTGTTCTTCCCATTGCAGATCCCTGTTTGCATATACAAGTGACTGTTCAAGCACATGGATCTTTGCTGCCCATGTCAGAGACCTAGAATTAGTTATTATATTATATTATATTATATTATATTATATTATATTATATTATATTATATGTAGCAGATTTACAGAGAGAAGGAGAAATGGGTGGGGAGAGGAGAGGGAGAGCTCTTTCATCTGCTGGTTCACTCCCCAAGTGGCTGCTACAGCCAGAGCTAAATTGATCTGAAGCTGGGAGGCAGGAGCTTCTTCTGGGTCTTCCATCCATTTGGGTTCAGGCTCCCAAGGTCTTGGGCTGTCTTATGTTGCTTTCCCAGGCCTTAAGCAGAGAGATGAACCAGAAGCAGAACAGCTGGGTCACAAATTGTTACCCCCTATGAGATGCTGGTGTTTGCAAGCATAAAATTAGCTGGCACACCACTATAATGGCCCCTCGGAAACATGCTTTCCTGATCTTTACTTCCAACGCTTGTTTCTAAATTTGGGTGGGGGCTTCCTATTTTACTACTGCTTCCTCTTTTCTCCTTATCATTGCTCTATATAGCACCTTCTTCTGTGCTAAGTGTGTTGTGTTTTCTTATTCTGAGTGTGTTAACTCATTTCAGGTTTTTGTTTATTTTTGTTTTAGCCTTTATTTATCTCTTCATTGGGAAGATGATGTAATACTTGCACATTGTCCATTTTCACTATCTATTTCCTCTTATAATTTATTAGAGTCTCTATTCAGTGAAGGAGGTTTTTGCTGATTGTGTTAATGATCAGTTTACCTTTGAAAAGGAGGTTAAGAAATATGATGAGTGGATACTCCCCAAGCAAACAGAGTTGCAGCAAAGGGATTAAAAGGAATGAGAAGGAAAGAAATTTTTTAGCTGGTGGACTTCACCAGGGGTTACTGGACAACCGTATAGGTTTCTTAATGAGGCTACTCCAAAGAGCAGAATTCATGGGCCCTTTTGGTTTCTTAAAGAGTTTCTAGTCTTGCTGGAGCATCAGCATTCTGCGAAGGAGTTGGTGCGAGCAAGGTGCCTCACCTCTCTCTTCATGTCAATTAGGGCCAGTTCTGTGCTGCAGCAAGTTAAGCTGCCACTTATTATGTTAGAATCTCATTTAAAATAATGCTTCAGCTCTTTTCTGCTCTGCCTCTAATCCAACCTCCTGCTGGATTACAGACCCACTCTTGCTGATCACATTCCAGCTCCTAATTCCACCTCATCCCAGTGCAGTTGTTTTAGGCATTTGGCGAGTGAGCCAGTAGATATGGAACCTTCTCTTTTTCTCCGCCCTTCTCTCTCTCCCTTTCTTCTTCTTCTTCTTCTCCTTCTTCTTCTTCTCCTTCCCCTTCCCCTCCTTCTCTCCTCTCCTCTCCTCTCCCTCCTCTCTTCTCCTCTCCTCTCCTCTTCATTCTCAAATAAATGATTTTTACAAGATCACTTGATGCTTCCTTTCAGCCTAGCACTTCAGTCCTGCCCTCCTCTCACTCCCTAAATCAAGAACCAATTTGATTTTAATGTCAGCAGAGAATGAGCAGGCTTCCACGTTAGAAGAGAAGGAGTACTCACACGTGCTCAGGGTTGAGTAAAGATCCAGAGCCTTGCCTCTTAGACAAATTTTTTCACGGGTTGACTTGTTTTGTTGTTCCACTGACCTTTGCATCCCTTGGTGCCCCATCTTCTGAGCCTCAGCTAGATTATTCAGGCAGCAGCCTACTCTCTGCAGTATGCTTTTCTTGAGGCTCTTTCAGCATCATAGTTCTTTTAGATACGTGGCTACCGCATTTCCACTGTCTAATTTTTAGCAACCCAAAACATGTTGACATACCTCTGCTTCTGCCCTTTCTCCTTCAAATTTTATAAGCTTTTTTATTATGTTTTTGCTATTTTGGTCGAGGTTCACAGAGAGAAGATACTGACACTTGTGTTACTTCTGCCATGGTCACCCAGAAGACAACTACAAAGAATTTGAAATAAAATAGGTTAAAAAACCAAAACGGCGCAAGCTCTTTAAGGACCAGTCTCACACCCCTGTGACCCACAGTACCTCTTATTGCAAGGGACAAATGAGAGTTTACAAATTAAACATGCACTCAAATTGTACTGACATTTCAAAAATGGGAACAAAGAATGTCTCATTTACTGGAGGCATTTACAGTAAATTTAACCAGATCCTTCTCCCACTCATTGTTCTATTTGTTTTTATCTAGGATAAAAAAAGAATGTTTTGTTTAGTCTTTTCTTTCTACAGACATGTTTATGGGTGGGAAATGGAAAAGGGGTTCCGTTA